TGGAAGCAGGTCCTCAAAGGTTTTTTAATGTCTAAAAATTTTTTCAAGGAAAATATTGTTTGGAGATTTGTCGTAACGGCCAAAAATTTCATCAAATGGTATTCAAACAGGATCAATGACAGACCCTGTTGACAGGATCAATGACAAACCTTGTTGACAGGCCGAGATGTTGGCAACACCTTGGCCCTTGATTGTTAGGTTGCGGGCCCCATAAAAGTCAAGATCAAGGGTCAAGGTAAACACCTCGACCTAGATTTAATCCTGAGTTTTGTAGTAGGGCTCAATAAATTAACGTTAGAGTAATAAATAACATATAAAATTAAAAACGAAATCACATCATCAAATTGTTATATTTACGTAGACGCAATGCAACATTCCGAAGTTTTGTCAAATTTTTATACTTGAGCCTCATTAAAAGGTTAAAAATGTACTTAGGAATAGTAAATTGAAGAACAACGTGATTAAAAAGTAAGAAAAAATTTTGAATTTACGTGTAATATTATGTTATTGAAGAATGTGTGGTCCAAAAGAAAAGAGAAAAAAAATGTATTTTTATAAGAATGAGGATCCAATAAGGCCTTAATTTTTATATGAGTGAGACAAGTAAAATTAACATCAAATAGAATTTTAATTATTGACGTATAAAATTTAAAAACGAAATTACGTTATTAAATTCAATTTTAATATTCTTCTTTACCTAGTTATTTTGAACGATACTTTTCAGCGTTGCATTTGTCATGAATACTGTGAAACATTACCAACCTGATGATAGAAGAGTATAACTCCAAAAATAAGTTGAAAAAATTGATGTGGAAATGGAATAAAAAAAAACGAATTATTACATTTATTCATAGTAGCTATTTTTAGTTCCTTATTTTGAATTCACCACTTAGAACCTGTTTAGAAGTGATTTTTTCTCCAAAAAATTGATTTTTTGATCGTTATTTAACTATTACAGTCGTCATATTTGACTTATTCTCTCACTGATAGATCCCACTTTTTTCCCAACGATCGAAAAATCAATTCTCAAAATCACTCCCAAACAGGCTCTTAACAATCTTTTCAATATGAGAAATGCATTGTGAATTTTTCATGAACACTTCGATAAGGTAACAAAAACTTGCCCCGACGACTTGAGAAGATGCATAAAAAATAAGTCAAAAGAGGTGAAGTCAGAATTAGAAAAATTTAAAATTTCTAATTCATTTTTGACTCATTACTTTGAAAACTCATTCTTTATTAATTTTTAAATCAAAAGATGTGTTGTGGAAAAACAAAGCCTTGACTCTACCACTGCCACACTAATCTATATTGTCAACCATGCTATGTTTACAAAAAATTTGCTAGATTGACAACATTTTATTGGAGTTTGTTAAAAATAGTTTGACGATTTTTCAAAAAAATTGTCGGCAATAAGATTTCATTGAATGTTAGTCAAAAAATAAAGTTAAACCAGTCGATTTTGTCTCTTCATTATTTTTAATGTTTTCCATACCTAATTCCAAGTTCCTATTGAAAATTATGAAATCGAGTCATTAGCGTTGTGGACAAAGAAAGACATAAAAGAACTGATGTGTTATGGTTCGGATGTTTAAGCATTAAAAATAAAATAAATTGTAAACACCGTGCCTTGTTTGGTAGATATTAAATTAATTTTAACAATATATTTTATAATCATTCATTTCATAATTTTTTATTAAAATTTACTAAAAATCTAACCGTCAGCTTTTTGCTAACTTTTCATAAACTATTATTTTTTTGAATGTTCATAAAACAAATTAGGAATATACTACTTGTTCATATTGTGATGTCCATCAGAAGTGAGTCCTCCTCCATATAAGTGGACAGACATCGTTATGGATACCCCGACATATCATATAAGCGTAGCATCACCCAACAAATTATCTTATAACCAAATTAAAATTGAGATAAGTAGTTAGAACCAAAATTTGGGCTCCATTTTTTTAAAACTCGTTTTCAATCACATATTTCTCATAAGCTAGTGTTATCCGTAAACTCAATTTTTTTTAACTATATATTCTTTTTGGATTGGTTTTAGATAGAAGTATCCACTCCTTAATATCAAAGAAATCACCTAAAAGTAAAGTAAAGTTGACTTTTACTCCAAACAAAAAGAAAGAAAAAGTTGAGTGGTGAATGTGAGTGGGATATATGAAAAAAATGAGGCCATCATAATAATTCCTTTTGTCTGAGGGAAGACCAGTACTTGCAGGGAGAGAGGGAGGAGGATGTGAAAGATAATAAATACTTGGTTTGGAGTTACTGATGGGAGAAAAAAATAAAAAGAGGCATCATTCTCTACTGCAACTGCACGCTGGAATTCCCATCATTCTCCTTCTCTGCCGTCCTATTTAATGCCTTGTTTGTCTGTTGCTCCCTTAGATCTCAAATCCCTAAACACATTTCTGCTTTCTGCTCCCTCTCCTTCTTACATATCATCTCAATCAACCATATTCTATATTTCTATGGCCCCCTCAATTATGGTCACTTTGCTCTTTGGTTTTGGGATGAAATTATTATTGATTTGTCAGTTTAATTTAATGCTGGTTTGGAAAATTTCATCATAATTTTCTTCAAACAAGCGATAATAAATTAGTTCTTTGTCTTTGTATTGGACTAGTGTCTATCTTAGGTACACTTTCATCTCTAATGGTTTCATACAAAATTGTACAATAATGAAACTGCAGTTGTTGGGGTCCGATCTCGAAGCACGACCCCCATATCTACTTTTTAAAATGATTAAAGATAACTTAAAACGTAGGATTTCCAAAATCTTTAAGGAGTTCGACATGTGGACAAACAATTAGGTCGACTAACGGTTGTTTCTAGAAACATAATCGTTACCCAACTGAAAAGTTGTTCCCTGATAACGCCAACATCGCTTCAGCCACTACTCCCAAAAAAATCAAATAGAGCACTTGACGTCAGCACCTCACTGACCACTAATTAAAACAAAAGTAACAGTTGCCACTGCTAAACTCATTAGCAAATCAAACCTTTTCAAATGCGATGATAACACACGTTATACGTCGCAAACAATCATTCTAGCAAACTACATTTTTCTCTTGTAATGCACTACTAAACCACCTAATGAGAACTCAGACCCTTGACACAAAACGGGTTTATATCCATCCGATCCCCAAGTACCAAGCAAGCTCTTCATCACGTGGCTAGGAATGCTTATAGTAGAGGTACGGTGCGAAGAGAGGTTAAGTATGAGCCTTGACCCATCTTGACCTGATTGTACATTGATGAGATCAAGTGCTCAAGTTTTAAGTCGTCATATTACACATTTTTACCTCGTGGTTGGAATTGATTGATCATATGTATCATCCTACCCAAACAATAATAAAATAATAATGATAACAGAGGACGATTTAAAAAAAAAATAAAAAATAGTCAAACAAATATTTGAGTCATTTTATTTGTTAAAATTTAGAATAAATATGTTATGATAAATATATTCATGCTACAATTTTGTAACTACAACACGTTATAAAATAAAATGAAGATTACATTTACATCCTCAATTTTTCGCCGGATTTTATTTAGTATATTTTGTTTCAATGCTTTGGAATTAGGAGATTTATCTGTTGAAGTGAAACTTCAAATTGAATCGATTAAATCAAGTATCCGATCTTAGTGGCCTTTCATCCTTAGCCCTTTCTTAGCTTTGTAGTCCCATATCTTTTGCTGAGATTTATTTAAACCTTCCCTTAAGGGTACGCGTTATTGGCTTCACTCCGGGGTCTAAGGGGACAGGATAAAGCCGACGCTTTGTTAGCATAAATTTGACAAAATATTTTACTCATGTTAACATAATATTTGGACAAAAATCACTATGAGAGACACATTTTAAATAATTTAAAATTAAACAAAAAATATGGCTTTGTAAATATTATCAAAATTTGAGGACTTTCATTATAATTGAAATATGATACAATTAACAAAGAGTAGTTATATTTAGAATTTTTAGTTTTTTTTTGTTAAAATACCCTATTTTGACTACATCAAATGTCATTAACATTTATTTACACTCTGTTTGAGCCCAATTATTTCCTTATTAAAATGAAATATGATCGTTATCTATCACATCAAGCTATCATATCTAACTTTTTATTTATTGTGTGGACCCATAACCGTTATATTTTTCATTCTCATTTTTACAATAATGTAACTCAAATGGGGGCTTAGTGTGACACTTATTTTCTTAACATTTTTTTTCCTCACATTCTTATTTTAATATTTCATTGATAAGAAAATTATTTTTCTTAATTATTATTTTCGTTCAAAAATATTATTAACGTGCTTTAAAATAAAGGTCAAATATTTAATTGTATTCTTGTATTATTATTTGTTTTGCTTATTTAAAAAGGGTGAAGAAATGAGTATTTTTACTCTATCTTAAAAAAAACTATTTGGAGAGAAATATAATCAAGAATAATTTATATTAATTTTAGAGTAAAAATGCAATGAAAATTTTGAAATATAAATACAATAATGTATAAAGACTATGAACCTTTCATATAATTAAAATTTAGTCTTACGATTAAAAACCGTCGTGTGATATATTTGGCCATTAACAAAACCTATCCCAGTAGCCCTTGTTTGTGCATCGTTTTGTAAGAAAATGTATTTTAAAATATTGATTAAAAAATAAGAAAAACTTTTAAGTTACACGAAAAATTATTTTATCAGAGAACGTATATGATTAAAAATGAGATTTTTAAAAAATACCAAACATAGGGTTAATATAATTCCTGTAAGTTAATTGACCAACTTTTCTAACTTATATTATAAAAATAAGAAAAGGAATAACTTATGAAATTAAACAAACGTACAAATAAAAATAATTTATTGTATTAAATTAGACAAAAGGTTTTGACAAGAGTACCGTCGCAAATATATTAATTTTTAAATGAAATGTACATATTCCTGGGCATTTTATGATCATGACGACGTTAGCGTATTCACAAGATTCTAGAGAGAGAAAGGGAAAAAGAGTCAAAGCAGCTGCAGGAATGGCTCGGCGTAGCAGTTGGTATTTGTAATGGTAATCATTCGGGTTTACAGGTGAAGATTAGAAGCTCGTGACCAGAATTTTTTCTTTTGCAGCATTACAAATAAGAATCACAATGCTACCCTTAGCTATATCATCAGTATCCTTCTCGAGGAATTTGCAGACACCATCTTCTTCACCTTCGTCTCTCTCTCTCTTCCTCTTTTTTTCTTGTCTTCATAGCCTCTATATGCTGGAGCTATAAAACCTCAGCATTTTTAACGGGTTTTGCCTAAAAAGGGAATTCTTTTCAAAGCTGAATATGATAGAGTTCTTGTTCTCGTTGAAGTTCTCTATAGAAAGAGTCTCTCTTTTACCCTTTCTGTGGTAAAAGTCCTTTATTTTGAGAGGATCCTTTGGGATTTTATTTTATTTTTCTGTGTTTCTGTGAGGAAGATTGAAGAATGGGTAGTTGTGCGAGGAACAGTGGGGTTAGGCAATATATAAGATCAAAGGTGCCTAGATTAAGATGGACTCCTGATCTTCATCACTGTTTTGTTCATGCCATAGAGAGGCTTGGAGGCCAGGACAGTAAGTTTTTTTTTTTTTTTTTGGCTTTATTTGTTTACATTCTAGCAGGGGATTTTTGTCAAGTTTTGTTTTGTTGTTCCGGTCTTTGGTTTGCTTTTTATCTGATTGTTCTTGATCATGGTGTGCCTTTTTCTTGTAACTCCATGTGCATGTGTCTGCATGTGAGAGGACTCGCATTCTAATGTTAAAAAGTTATTATTTGGTCTTTTGACTTGATTCTCTTTTCTTCTGATGTACAGAGGCAACTCCAAAGCTTGTTCTCCAGTTGATGGATGTTAGAGGACTCACCATTTCTCATGTCAAAAGTCATCTTCAGGTTGGTTTATTTTTCACTTATGCTTCAATTCTTTTCACCTTTTTGGGTTTTCTTCATTTCTGGGTTTGTCTCTCTTTGTTGTTGAACAGATGTACAGAGGCATGAAGTCTGATGTGATGAGCAAACAAGGTACATATTCATTGTCTTTTCTCACCTATACCGAACCACTTAATTTTTATGGATTTCGTTAAGGGATAAATAGTCTTAACATATCGGATATGTTAAGGGAATTCTATGTTGGTTATAGATTTTATGAAGCAGTTTGGGAAATGATGATGGTTTCCTCTATTGGTTCACTTCCGTGTCCATTGTTAATGTTGATGACATAGTATCTTTTCATATCTTTTAGAAATGAGTGGATATCTCCCTTCATTTATTACTTATTTCCCCATAAAGTTGCATCCAACAAGCATGAGAATGAACCCTCATTTCTTTAAAATCTTCTAATATTGGCATTTCTAATGAAGACTGCCGTTCTACAGATTCCCAAATCATTTGACCAGATACTTTTTTTATTCAAATGTAGACAGAAGCTCTGTTCTCTATTTTAATTCTGTTTAATTAAATTATCTTTTTTTTATACAGGTTGTTGATTCCTTGATACTGACTATTTAACTGCAGTACCATGCACATAGTATATTTCGTAAAGAAAATTGATTTAAGTAAAAATAATTTAAAATATCAAATTTAAAAGCTTGTTTGGAAGTGTTTATGAACGGTTTAAATTATAAATAGATAGAAATGAGTTATAAATAAGTGGATAATACTTGTGGGTCCATGAAATGTATGGATAAAAAGTGGTTTGAGTGATAATAATCAGTTAATAAACATTTGCCAAATATAGGCTAAGATTACTCATGGGTCTAGAATATGGATTTACTCATAAATTGAACCTAATTGACTTGTGTAGCATCTGAAGTTTGCAATTCTATACGTTGATACTTGATGAAATATTAATTAGATCCTGATTAAGCCATTTCATTCCGGACCCTAGCTCAATCTATTTACCAGTTTCAAGTTTGAAATGGAACAGATATTTTCAATATTCCTACCTTTATTCATTTTCTACCATTGTTGTATTATTTAAATAATAACAGGATTCATGGATTGGAAGGATTACTTTGTCCCCAAGGAGTTTTTATTTCTTTCGTTTGAACGCATTGAAGCATTTCAATTTTGCTAAAATCTAGATACAATGACCTATAAGGAAGTTTGAAAACTGAAACTGAGGGCCTCTTTGGCATAGCTTCTCGTAGCAAAGCTTCCTGAGTAAGCTACCTTGGATTAGTTTCCTCTAGAACCTCTTCTAGCTCGACAAAACACTTTTAGAAGATGTTCTAAAACTGGCCAAAAGCTGCTTTTTATTCTCAGAATCAGCTTTTGGTTTTTTTTTTTTTAAGCCCTGCCCATTGACCTGATACATACAAAATGAAAGCATAAAGGAAATATTTTCCATTGCAATCAATAGAGACATCCAAGGATTTAATAATTTCGAGCATTATTTGAATTAGTTATCATCTGAAGTTTTTGATTCTTAAAGTATCAAATAATTGACATAATTTTCTTACACTGCAGGTTTCATGAGATATGGGATGAAGGTGTACTTGTAAGCCAGGAGAAAGTCGATTCCGATGCTGTAGCTTGTTGATTTTTCCGTTCATTTTGGATCTGTAAATTTATTGTTTGCTTGGCAAAATTTTCTTCTCTTGCATTGCCACATGAACAAGTAAATGGTGTCTATTTTGTTGATAGAGATGGAATTAGCACTCAATTTCTCACTTGGCTACTTTCCCATTACTCTTTTGGTGAAGTGCACAAGTGACAGCATTCTCGTCTGTGTTTGTATAGAGAAGTCATGTCTACATATTTATAGAAAATAGCGGATTGGGTTCAATACATAAATGTGACATGCCAGTGGTGTTGATATAATTGTAAACTTGGTGCTCTTAGCTGCCTTTCTTTCCTTGATGAGTTCGATTCTTAATTAAAATAATGAATATTCTAAACTTGTGTTTGGTTTTCATTTTCTAGATTTCATTTATCCTCAAAAATCATTTTTAAATATGCATTTCAGGGTATTCACAATTTTTATTAGCTTTTCAATTACACGATTTATCAACCTTTATTAAAATTTACGGCAAATATGATTTTACCTAAATGAGTTAATTACCCAAATAGTCACTGAATTTTGCTAAAAATTTGCAGGAACTTGAAAACTTTCCTAAATAGTTATTGAACTTTGTTAAAAGTTTTCAGGGGATCATTGAATTTCATAACTTTTCTAAATAGTTACTGAAATTTGCAAAAAGTTCTTAGAGAGTTACTCAACTTTGCAAATTGGGACCTTTACGTCACTGGTTTAGTGATTGAATAGGAATTTTTTACAAAATTCAGTGACTATTTATGAAAATTTTGAAGTTTGATAACTTCTTGGAAACTTTTAACAAAGTTTAATGACTATTTATGAAAGTTTTAAAGTTTGATGACCTCCTGAAAACTTTTGATAATGTTCAGTGACTATTTCGAAAAGAATCGTGCTTTTTAGCCAGGTTCAAAACCAGGCCTAAAAACAGGGTCGTCATGTGGCGCCCCTATTTTGGTTTTGAACTTGGCTTTATGACTTTTTTGATTTGGGAAATTAACTCTACCTAAATCATAGAGGGTTTAATGTTCAAATTATTTCATCTTCCCCCCATGTTGTAATCCACTTGTTTGTTTCGTTTTTGCGATGACATTTTTGCTCCTCTTTTAAATGGGAATCAATTAAGCCTTTTTGTCGAATTTATGGAAATTAATTTTTAAAATTATTTTCAATTACTTGTCTGAAACTCAGTACTTTTTTAACCTTTTCACCGTACAGTTTTACCTTGAAAAAGTCTTCCACCAAACAAGTTTTTAGACCTTCATGATTGAGTGAGAATCAATATGGATTTTTTTTCAGCAAAAAATCTAATAGTCTATTATAATTATATTTCTATTTATCGAATCATTCATTAAATTCCCCACACACATGTCGAGGATCGATACGTACACGCCAAAAGTATACCTATTGCAAACCCTAGTTCTGTTTGACGTGACAAGGTCAAACTTTCGACGTGATAGATTTTGTTCTTCTTTCTGTAATTGAATCGTTTATGCTGAATTTATTATCATAAAACAATTATTATTGTCAATAAAAGCCATCAAATATTTAGCTATATTCTTTCTTTAGATCAACTTAATTAATACTGCACTCAAGAAAATGTTTATTGCTACGTCTCATTTGACGAGGCTTCAGAGAATCCTACTTAACATGGTCAAACACTTCACCTCACTTTGCTCAAGAGGCAGTAGGCCAAACCCCGTGGAGAGTCCGAACCTATATGGGAAGTCGAGCTCATTTGACTAAGTCAACCCCATACGAAGAATCGAAACCTCGTTACAAGAAAGGGGGCCTAACAAGAGAAACAAGAGATATTTTGTGCACTTATTAGTATGTGATTTGATGTAACAATTAAACGTTACCATCGTCCTATCCAACCAATTAGATCAAGTCTAAGTCCTGTGTTAGATTTATGGACAACAAAATGGCATTACACAAAGGCTTCTTGTCAAGAGTATATGTATAATTTAAATATTTAAAGGAGGAAAAATATATATTTATTTTCTATTTTAATTTCAAGAAGCCTCTTGATATACGAAGTACGCCATTGACTTCATAATTGCTACAGCACGCAACAAATAAATTTTTCGTAAAGTGAATTGTGGATAAAATAGGTTGTGAGGCTTCCATTATCCACTGGTTGATGGAAGCAGGTCCTCAAATGTTTTTTAATGTCTAAATAATTTTTTCAAGGAAAATATTGTTTGGAGATTTATCGTAACGGCCAAAAATTTCATCAAATGGTATTCAAACAGGATCAATGACAGGCCTTGTTGACAGACCGAGGTGCCCTTGATTGTTATGCTGCGAGCCCCATAAAAGTCAAGATCAAGGGTCGAGGTGTCAACACCTCCACCTAGATTTAATCCTGAGTTTTGTAGTAGGGCTCAATAAATTAATGTTAGAGTAATAAATAACGTATAAAATTAAAAACGAAATCATGTCATTAAATTCAATAACATCAAATTGTTATATTTACGTAGACGCATTGCAACATTCCAAAGTTTCGTCAAATTGTTATACTTGAGCCTCATTAAAAGGTTAAAAATGTACTTTGGAATAGTAAATTGAAGAACAACTTGATTAAAAAGTAAGAAAAAATTTTGAATTTGCTTGTAATATTATTTTATTGAATAATAACGTGGTTAAAAAATAAGTTTTGAATTTGCATGTAATATTATTTTATTGAAAAATGTATGGTCGAAAAGAAGAGAGAAAAATGTATTTTGACAAAAATGAGAATCAAATAAGGCCTTAATTTTTATATGAGTGAGACAAGTAAAATTAACATCAAATAGAATTTTAATTATTGATGTATAAAATTTAAAAACGAAATTACGTTATTAAATTCAATTTTAATATTCTTTTTTGCCTAGTTATTTTGAACGATACTTTTCAGCGTTGCATTTGTCATGAGTACTGTGAAACATTACCAACCTAACGATAGAAGAGTATAACTCCAAAAATAAGTTGAAAATTTTGATGTGGAAATGGAATAAAAAAAAAAAAAAAAAAAAAAAATTATTACACTTATTCATAGTAGCTACTTTTAGCACCTTGTTTTGAATTCACCACTTAGAGCTGTTTGGGAGTGATTTTTTTCCCAAAAAAATTGATTTTTTGACTGTTATTTCACTATTACAACCGTCATATTTGACTTCTTCTCTCACAGGTGGACCCCACTTTTCTCTTAACGGTCAAAAAATCAATTCTCAAAATCACTCTCAAACAGACTCTTAACAATATTTTCAATATGAGAGATGCATTGTGAATTTTTCATGAATACTTCGATAAGGTAACAAAAACTTACCCCGACGACTTGAGAAGATGCATAAAAAATAAGTCAAAAGTGGTGAAGTCAGAATTAGAAAATTTTAAAATTTCTAATTCATTTTTGACTCATTACTTTGAAAACTCATTGTTTAATAATTTTAAAATCGAAAGATATGTTGTGGAAAAACAAAGCCTTGACTCTACCACTGCCACACTAATCTATATTGTCAACCATGCTATGTTTACAAATAAATTTGCCAGATTGACAACATTTTATTGGAGTTTGTTAAAAATAGTTTGACGATTTTTCAAAAAAATTGTCGGCAATAAGATTTCATTGAATGTTAGTCAAAAAATAAAGTTAAACCAGTCAATTTTGTCTCTTCATTATTTTTAATGTTTTCCATACCTAATTCCAAGTTCCTATTGAAAATTATGAAATCGAGTCATTAGCGTTGTGGACAAAGAAAGACATAAAAGAACTGATGTGTTATAGTTCGGATGTTTATGCATTAAAAATAAAATAAATTGTAAACACCGTGTCCTGTTTGGTAGATATTAAATTAATTTTATCAATATATTTTATAATCATTCATTTCATTATTTTTTATGAAAATTTACTAAAAATCTGATCGTCAGCTTTTTGTTAACTTTTTATGAACTATTATTTTATTGAATGTTCATAAAACAAATTAGGAATATGCTACTTTTTTATATTGCGGTGTTCATCAGAAGTGAGTCCTCTTGAATAGACACCGTTATGAACACCCTGACATATCATATACGCGTAGCATCACCCAACAAATTATCTCATAACCAAATTAAAATTGAGATAAGTAGTTAGAACCAAAAGTTGGGCTCCATTTTTCAAAACTCGTTTTCAATCACATATTTTCTCATAAGCTAATGTTATCCGTAAACTCAATTTTTTTTAGAATTAATCCATTTGTACTTATTTGTAGATACTTCCCCACCGCTCCTTTCACATGAGGTCGGATCCCATGTGGGGGTTATGATGTGGGGTCCGACCCCCATGTGAGAGGAGGAGGTGGACTCGAGTAAACAAATAAATATAAGTAGCACGATTCTTTTTTTTAATCATACATTCTTTTGATTGATTTTAGGTAGAAGTATCCACTCCTTAATATCAAAGAAATCACCTAAAAGTAAAGTAAAGTTGACTTTTACTCCAAACAAAAAGAAAGAAAAAGTTGAGTGGTGAATGTGAGTGGGATATATGAAAAAAATGAGGCCATCATAATAATTCCTTTTGTCTGAGGGAAGACCAGTAGTTGCAGGGAGAGAGGGAGGAGGATGTGAAAGATAATAAATACTTGGTTTGGAGTTACTGATGGGAGAAAAAAATAAAAAGAGGCATCATTCTCTACTGCAACTGCACGCTGGAATTCCCATCATTCTCCTTCTCTGCCGTCCTATTTAATGCCTTGTTTGTCTGTTGCTCCCTTAGATCTCAAATCCCTAAACACATTTCTGCTTTCTGCTCCCTCTCCTTCTTACATATCATCTCAATCAACCATATTCTATATTTCTATGGCCCCCTCAATTATGGTCACTTTGCTCTTTGGTTTTGGGATGAAATTATTATTGATTTGTCAGTTTAATTTAATGCTGGTTTGGAAAATTTCATCATAATTTTCTTCAAACAAGCGATAATAAATTAGTTCTTTGTCTTTGTATTGGACTGGTATCTATCTTTGGTACACTTTCATCTCTAATGGTTTCGTACAAAATTGTATTGTAGTGAAACTGCAGTTGTTGGGGTCCAACCTCGAAGCACAAGCCCCATATCTACTTTTTAAAATGATTAAAGATGACTTAAAATGTGGGATTTCCAAAATTTTGAAGGAGTTCGACATGTGAACAAACAATCAGGTCGACTAAGGGTTGTTTCTAGAAACATAATCGTGGTCCAACTAAAAGGTTGTTCCCTGATATCGCCAACACCTCGTCAACCACTACTCCCAAAAAAATCAAATAGAGCACTTGACATCAACACCTCATTGATCACCAATTAAAAAAAAGTAATAGTTGCCACTGCTAAACTCATTAGCAAATCAAACCTCTTCAAATGCGATGATAACACACGTTATACGTCGCAAACAATCATTCTAGCAAACTACATTTTTCTCTTGTAATGCACTACTAAACCACCTAATGAGAACTCAGACCCTTGACACAAAACGGGTTTATATCCATCCGATCCCCAAGTACCAAGCAAGCTCTTCATCACGTGGCTAGGAATGCTTATAGTAGAGTTACCGTGGGAAGAGAGGTTAAGTATGAGCCTTGACCCATCTTGACCTGATTGTACATTGATGAGATCAAGTGCTCAAGTTTTAAGTGGTCATATTACACATTTTTACCTCGTGGTTGGAATTGATTGATCATATGTATCATCCTACCCAAACAATAATAAAATAATAATGATAACAGAGGACGATTTAAAAAAAAAATAAAAAATAGTCAAACAAATATTTGAGTCATTTTATTTGTTAAAATTTAGAATAAATATGTTATGATAAATATATTCATGCTACAATTTTGTAACTACAACACGTTATAAAATAAAATGAAGATTACATTTACATCCTCAATTTTTCGCCGGATTTTATTTAGTATATTTTGTTTCAATGCTTTGGAATTAGGAGATTTATCTGTTGAAGTGAAACTTCAAATTGAATCGATTAAATCAAGTATCCGATCTTAGTGGCCTTTCATCCTTAGCCCTTTCTTAGCTTTGTAGTCCCATATCTTTTGCTGAGATTTATTTAAACCTTCCCTTAAGGGTACGCGTTATTGGCTTCACTCCGGGGTCTAAGGGGACAGGATAAAGCCGACGCTTTGTTAGCATAAATTTGACAAAATATTTTACTCATGTTAACATAATATTTGGACAAAAATCACTATGAGAGACACATTTTAAATAATTTAAAATTAAACAAAAAATATGGCTTTGTAAATATTATCAAAATTTGAGGACTTTCATTATAATTGAAATATGATACAATTAACAAAGAGTAGTTATATTTAGAATTTTTAGTTTTTTTTTGTTAAAATACCCTATTTTGACTACATCAAATGTCATTAACATTTATTTACACTCTGTTTGAGCCCAATTATTTCCTTATTAAAATGAAATATGATCGTTATCTATCACATCAAGCTATCATATCTAACTTTTTATTTATTGTGTGGACCCATAACCGTTATATTTTTCATTCTCATTTTTACAATAATGTAACTCAAATGGGGGCTTAGTGTGACACTTATTTTCTTAACATTTTTTTTCCTCACATTCTTATTTTAATATTTCATTGATAAGAAAATTATTTTTCTTAATTATTATTTTCGTTCAAAAATATTATTAACGTGCTTTAAAATAAAGGTCAAATATTTAATTGTATTCTTGTATTATTATTTGTTTTGCTTATTTAAAAAGGGTGAAGAAATGAGTATTTTTACTCTATCTTAAAAAAAACTATTTGGAGAGAAATATAATCAAGAATAATTTATATTAATTTTAGAGTAAAAATGCAATGAAAATTTTGAAATATAAATACAATAATGTATAAAGACTATGAACCTTTCATATAATTAAAATTTAGTCTTACGATTAAAAACCGTCGTGTGATATATTTGGCCATTAACAAAACCTATCCCAGTAGCCCTTGTTTGTGCATCGTTTTGTAAGAAAATGTATTTTAAAATATTGATTAAAAAATAAGAAAAACTTTTAAGTTACACGAAAAATTATTTTATCAGAGAACGTATATGATTAAAAATGAGATTTTTAAAAAATACCAAACATAGGGTTAATATAATTCCTGTAAGTTAATTGACCAACTTTTCTAACTTATATTATAAAAATAAGAAAAGGAATAACTTATGAAATTAAACAAACGTACAAATAAAAATAATTTATTGTATTAAATTAGACAAAAGGTTTTGACAAGAGTACCGTCGCAAATATATTAATTTTTAAATGAAATGTACATATTCCTGGGCATTTTATGATCATGACGACGTTAGCGTATTCACAAGATTCTAGAGAGAGAAAGGGAAAAAGAGTCAAAGCAGCTGCAGGAATGGCTCGGCGTAGCAGTTGGTATTTGTAATGGTAATCATTCGGGTTTACAGGTGAAGATTAGAAGCTCGTGACCAGAATTTTTTCTTTTGCAGCATTACAAATAAGAATCACAATGCTACCCTTAGCTATATCATCAGTATCCTTCTCGAGGAATTTGCAGACACCATCTTCTTCACCTTCGTCTCTCTCTCTCTTCCTCTTTTTTTCTTGTCTTCATAGCCTCTATATGCTGGAGCTATAAAACCTCAGCATTTTTAACGGGTTTTGCCTAAAAAGGGAATTCTTTTCAAAGCTGAATATGATAGAGTTCTTGTTCTCGTTGAAGTTCTCTATAGAAAGAGTCTCTCTTTTACCCTTTCTGTGGTAAAAGTCCTTTATTTTGAGAGGATCCTTTGGGATTTTATTTTATTTTTCTGTGTTTCTGTGAGGAAGATTGAAGAATGGGTAGTTGTGCGAGGAACAGTGGGGTTAGGCAATATATAAGATCAAAGGTGCCTAGATTAAGATGGACTCCTGATCTTCATCACTGTTTTGTTCATGCCATAGAGAGGCTTGGAGGCCAGGACAGTAAGTTTTTTTTTTTTTTTTTGGCTTTATTTGTTTACATTCTAGCAGGGGATTTTTGTCAAGTTTTGTTTTGTTGTTCCGGTCTTTGGTTTGCTTTTTATCTGATTGTTCTTGATCATGGTGTGCCTTTTTCTTGTAACTCCATGTGCATGTGTCTGCATGTGAGAGGACTCGCATTCTAATGTTAAAAAGTTATTATTTGGTCTTTTGACTTGATTCTCTTTTCTTCTGATGTACAGAGGCAACTCCAAAGCTTGTTCTCCAGTTGATGGATGTTAGAGGACTCACCATTTCTCATGTCAAAAGTCATCTTCAGGTTGGTTTATTTTTCACTTATGCTTCAATTCTTTTCACCTTTTTGGGTTTTCTTCATTTCTGGGTTTGTCTCTCTTTGTTGTTGAACAGATGTACAGAGGCATGAAGTCTGATGTGATGAGCAAACAAGGTACATATTCATTGTCTTTTCTCACCTATACCGAACCACTTAATTTTTATGGATTTCGTTAAGGGATAAATAGTCTTAACATATCGGATATGTTAAGGGAATTCTATGTTGGTTATAGATTTTATGAAGCAGTTTGGGAAATGATGATGGTTTCCTCTATTGGTTCACTTCCGTGTCCATTGTTAATGTTGATGACATAGTATCTTTTCATATCTTTTAGAAATGAGTGGATATCTCCCTTCATTTATTACTTATTTCCCCATAAAGTTGCATCCAACAAGCATGAGAATGAACCCTCATTTCTTTAAAATCTTCTAATATTGGCATTTCTAATGAAAAACACTGCCATTTTACTACTTCCCTAATCACTTAACCAAATATCTTTTCTTCAAATGTAGATAGAAGCAGCAGTACACAGCAAAAGAAAAAGTTGCTTGAAGAAGATCATCAAGAAGGATGTGTTGAACAAGAAATTCCAATGGAAAGATCAGATCCACAGCAGTTCATTTACTCTCCTCTACCTGTAAAAAGGTGAGCCCTTTTTTAGTTTTTACAGCCTCAACATTAGGCTCACATCTCAAAAAGGGTTCTAGTAAGAAACAAAAAGGATTTGCATGTTGAGCTTTTATCTTTTATTTTATTTATGCATGAATAGTCATGATATTCTTTTTGCTTTCACATATTCTGGTCAGAGCTCGAATCGAGAAGATTAATTCTGTCTCAGAGAAGCAAAGAATACGTGAGTCAGTTGCAAATCCGTACTGTGATGATGATTATAACATGCAGACTAGGGCCGAGAAAAGTGACAATGAAGAGAGAAAATTCAAATGGCAGATTCAAGAAACACCTCAAATCTGCACTGCTACTCCATTCTCTATGCTACAGCAAGATTTCTTACACACCACCCTCAAACCTTATTCCCTTGCAGGTTCACTAGTAGAATCTGAGTTTTTCAAGGTACAGTAGCCCCACTTTTTTCTGTTTTACCTCTTCCATTCTCTCTGGAAACCTATTTCTTTTGCACAGCTTTTCTAGTTGTGGATTTAGTTTAACTCTCTCTCTCTCTCTATGCCATCTTTGAAGAAATTTAAAAATCTTATTCTCACTCTCATAATTAATTCGTCTACTACGACCTTTTGTACAATGGAATGACACAAGATGGAAACACAGAATGAGTTTCTTCTTGGAACAGGAAGCCAGGTTTTCTAATGCTTAATAGATTGTTTGAGTCCCATTCTTGACGTACATTTTTTAATAGTGTATCGATGTGAAATATGTGGTTAGAAAATAAAATTTTTTTTTGAATTTATTAGTAATATTATTTTATTGAATAATATATGATTGAAATGACGTAAAAATATTTTTTCCAAAGAAAAGCTCAAACAAGGGCTTAAAATGTAATAAATTAACACATCCTTAGCCCAAAAGTTGTTCAAGTTGGGTGAGAAATGATTGAAAAGTGTGGCTAGGAGTTTGAAATCTTCTGCCCTAAATTCTCAATAATTCTCTCCTTTCTGATGCAAGGCTGGACAAAGACAAAATGAAGGATTACAGTTCTTGTGTTTGACTATAGAATTCAATGTGTAATTAATCTTTGTGCCTAATCTTTTTCAAGTGTTAGACTTTTGACTAACAATTCTTGCTTGAAACTTTTCATGGTTTGACTTGTAAAAAAACGCAATTTTAGGTCCATTGTTTTTTTGTCTATGAATTTTTAACAACGGAAAAAAAAATATATTTTTTTTTCTTGTTTGGCACGTGCGTACATGACCCTGCTGTCAATGGATAATTGCATGTGGCACGTGTAATAGTATATTAATGATCCTATGGTTTAAATGTAAATATCTCACATGTTAAGTTGTGGGGGTTTGCCTCTTGGGGGAATTTTCAGAATTCATAATTGAGATTTAATGCAATGGAATGGTGAGTACAAATTTAGGTACTGTGTTAATAGTAAGTGGGACATCTTATTTAAGAAATATGTACTATTTGGTTTGATAAATTAATTCTCTTTCTATTATTATTCCTCATGAAATAGAATTAGAAAATATTAAGACTCGAAAATATGCGAGATATATGATTGGCAAGCGAAACTATCACCTTTTCTTGTTTTATAGGTGGTTCCGAATCAAGAGAAGGAAAAATGTGAATCATTTGTGCAAAGGAAACTCGAGAGCTTAAGCCATATTCACAATGCAGCTGATGAAATTGAGGGTTGTGAATTGTCATTGTCCCTCTCATTGCAGAGAAGTAATGGTTTTTCCACTAGCGAAATCGTCAGTGAGGCAATATCGTCGACCTACACCAGAAGGTCTAACATTAATCAGCACTCGGCTTCTTCTTCGCAAAATCATAATGTTAATCTAGACCTCTCTATTGCTCTCTGTGGTTCTTGATTTTGCAGTCGAAGAATTTGTATTTGGCTCGTATTTTGGATATCATATTTCGGTCTACTATAATTGGTTCTGTACACAATGTTTAAGTTAGTCTAGATATCCTTGCATGGTCTTAGTTAAATGTTTGATTACCAACTATTTTGGTTGGGTGGTTTACTAAATATTAGTTTTCCTTAAAAAGTAGGTTTGGGTACTGACTGTAGAAGTTTATAATACCTAGTAATGTGTGCTCAAGGTCAAACGATAGATTGGAATGGATTATGAGTTGATAAATGGTTTTCTAAATTGTTGGTCTAGTAAAGCATACGAAACATACTAATCATGGAGTTAATTGTTTCAATAATCACCTAATTTATACCATGGTCACGATTTACTCACTGAATTTCAAATTGTTCCATAGTGCTCACTCGCTAAATTGTCTGTTTGCTCTTCATCCATCACCCTAAAAAATTTGTTATCTTATTTGTTGACGTGGCTAACAAAAATTTGATGTGTCAAGTTATATTCGTAAAAAAATTACAAATCGGTCAAATGATTGTTTCATCAATCATCCAACTTACATTAAGTCGCAATTTACTAATCAAATTTCAAAATGCTTTGCAATGATTATATTCGTAAAAAAATTACAAATCGGTCAAATGATTGTTTCATCACTCATTCAACTTACATTAAGTCATAATTTACTAATCAAATTTCAAAATGCTTTCCAATGATCACTCATCTTCGAGATATTGGATTTCATCTATCATTCACATATTTAGTTCCTTTTGATGCTAATGTTCACATAGAAATTTAGGCCTCGTTTGGATGTGATTTTTCATCTCAAAAAATTGATTTTTTTATTGTTATTTCACTATTTCAGTGGAAATTTTTGACTTATTTTCTCACAGGTAGCTCCAACTTTTCTTCTAACGGTTAAAAAAATAATTATCAAAATCACTACCGAACACTCTTAACAGAGTAAGTTACAAATGTTAAAAAAAATTACATTTCAACAAAACTATCAATTTACAAGAATCACCAAATGGTAATTTTGGTGTATTGATGATTTGGTTGAGTTGTAAATTTTTTTGTATGACTGTACTTGTGAAATTTTCGTACAATAAGTTGGATTTAGTGCACAAAATATCACAGATAATGGATTTAGTGCAATATCTCAAAAATGAGTGACCATTGAAAAGCATTTTGAAATTCGATGAGTAAACTATGGCCTAGTGTAAATTGAATGAGTGATGATCAATGATTTGGATGATTTGTAATTTTTTAACGGCCGTAATTTGACACATCAGATTTTCGTTAGCCACGTCAGAAAATAAGGTGATGGATGGAGTGTAAACAGACAAAATTTAGTTAGCACCTTGAAGTTTTGTTAGTATATCATGACGATGATATAAATTGGGTGATTATTGAAACAATTAACTCCTAATCATGCTATTAATATTTTAATATTTCAGCCATTTCAAAATTATTAGGCTGTCAATTAATAAAGTGAATGATGCGCAGAATTCGATATCTGCGAAACAACTAAGAGAGAAAAAAGGAAGAAGCAGCCTTTTTCAATTTCAACAACTCCAGACAAAAGTCCAAATTATTGAAAGTGAGAAACAATACAGAACTCAGGTCATTTTTTGCCGACTGGATTCCATGCTTCAATATTGGCAATACTATAATAATTTCATGTTAAATTTCCCTTTTTCCACATCCAATAATGTAAATGGCCCAGAAATAACAGGAGAAAAAAAAATTTAATTACTTTCTCTATTTGTATTGTTTAATCACCTCTGCGACGGAAAATTTCAACGTTTGCAAGATGTGTCCATGCTAGTGAAGACGAAGAGAGAGTATGCGAAGTAACCCTTGTTGTTACCGTAGATTTTCACAATGTCAACTGTGCTCAAGTTTTGATGATGTGATTAAAATTAGAGTTGTGTGCTTTATAATAGTAAAACCTCCATAAAATAATAATAGCATTATTGATTTATCGATAAACGAATAATTTATTACTTTATATATAAACTATGTGAAGCCATTTTTTAGTCAATGAGTACAAAAATGCAACTAATGTCGAGCTCTTTCTTGAATTATCCTGATCGAGATAGGATAATGGAATAGTCAATTACTGAAAATATTATTTTAAGGATATTGAATACGCCGATTAAGGATGATAATGACTTATATGATGGTTATGTTTTACCTACTTTTTCTCTCGAAAAAGCCTTTCAAATATCGTAGCATTAAATAATCAATTTCTACAAAATAGAAAAAATATATCAAACGTGGTTATGCATTACAAGAAAAGTATGGATGAGTTTGAGTTTAGTTTGGGCACAAAGAAAAAATAACTAGGTTTAGACGCATATTTTCTTTGAAGTTTGAATTGAATATTTGGAAGTTATCAAATAAAAAATTCATTAATATTTATTAAAAAAAATTATGTATTTAACCAATTATTATTTTTATATATTTTTGTTGGGCTCCAAAGCATTTTATATAAAAGTATTATCTTATACATTTAGCAGTCTCTATTTAGCAAATTTATAAAGATAAAGTAGTAGTAGATCCCATGAAACATGAGAAAAATAATAAACAATAGTTATGAATGTTTGGTTTTAATATTTAACTTCGATTGAATAATAAACCATTTATATTTTTGTATTCGAAGGGATGCTATTAATTTATCACACAAGCGATTCGAAATTGAGGATATTCTTATTTAAATGAAATGATTTAGAACATCTCCAATACAACTTTTTTAAGTATAAGATCATTTCTATTTTAAACGGTCGATTCTTAAAATTTTGCTTCAAAAGGCTATTTGAATTAACATTTTAAAATAAAAAGTGGATTTGAAGGGCCAAATTTACTCTTTATATAATGTACTCAAACTATTTCAACTTTCAATGTACAAAAATAATATAATATTTTAAAATGAAGCTAGTAAAAATAAAAGATGGATAAAAATAATAAATGCTTTTTGAAAGTAGCAAAATTAAGTTATAAAAATAAAAGGCATTGTAACACTTAATATTTTTTTGCTCTCTAAATTTATAAACTCCTTAGATTGTTAAATATACTCTTTAAAAATAGAATATCTCTTGTAAAGATTGTTAAATATACTCTTCAAAAATAGAGTATCTCTTGAAAATACTTTTTGTGCGCAAACAAATAGTATTTGAATTGAACTAATAGAATCTTATACTTTAGTTGAGAATCCTATTTTATTTTTACAATAATGCTTAAAAAGCCACTATAAAGATCCAAAAGCTGGTAATGAATGTCTTAATGAACTCAAAAAGAAAAGTACATATACAGCTCTAAATTAGTTGCTTTCTCGGTCAGAGGTCGAACAAGACAAGCAAGTGATACTATGATTATGCTAGGCTTTTCCCCAGAAAAAATAGAATCAATCTACTTGTATATATTTTGTGTACATTTTGGATGACATTCCAATACGTGTCAAAATCGAGGCCATTCATTGAATCATTGCTTGTGTTAGGACAAATCAATGGCAAAATTGTGTCACATTGTCAAATATAAACTAGAATTTTAAGTGTAGCAAGACTGAAAAAAAAATAATAAAAAAAAATCGATTTTCTAGAAGTAGAATTTGTAAGGAAAATTCGTACCAGAATACGAATATTCACACCGCATCATTCGTCCTTTTAGTAACGACATTATCTAAGCCTTGACAAAGTTACAAATTTATCATAAACTTACATAAAAGTTGAACTAATAATCACTTGTGAATAATCAAAAACCTCAGAAAACATTTGTAAAATAGACATCAAATATGTAAAATTTATTTAGAACTAAATTACCAGGGAAAATTCAGAGTAGTCTAGTATCATGTTTACATAATACCAAAACAATTTCAAATTAAGTCCTCCAATGACTACCACTTCCCACAGTTTAGCTTCTTCCTGAAGAGAAAAGCAACCCTGAAAACTTCAATGAAGGAACTAAAAAGGAATTCGCATGAAAATTTCAATAAAGGAACTAAAAAGGAATTCCGTGACATCTTACGAAAGTCTAAGAACAGCTATGGAGAAAAATATAAGCAAGTGCATTATATCAATTAGTAACGACAATATCTCCTTTGCCATTGCAAATATGTTTCCTATAGAAAAAATATGTTAAAAGTGTAGAAAAGCAACTTGCTATCTTCTTTTTTAGTTATAAGTCCTGAATAACTTAATGATATACAGGATATAGAGCAAGGATAGAGACGTTCCAGGTTTCTAGATTCTTGTAGAAAAAGTGAATTATCAAAGAATGAAATTGGCAAACATCAGAACTACCTGAACTTCAGAACTTGTTCCAGAACCATAATTCTGAAGTACAGTTCATTGAACTCCAGTTTTTTCTCATAAAGGAAATTCATACAAAATCACAAATTGGAAAGTGACTAGATTATTTTTGGTAATTCCCAAAAAGGAGGCACTGGAATCTGAAACTTGTACAATAGCATTCTACTCAAAATCATTGCTCTTTCTAACATGTCGCGAGATTTTTATCTTCTTGAAAGTTTTTTTATTTTCTAAAAGCACTTCTAGCAGGGCTCCTATTTGAAGCCTGAAGATGCCAATAACATAAAAATAATTAGTAGGAAGACGGGCAGAAAAATAAAGGGAAGTACACAATGATTTGCAAAGATGAACATCACCTCAACCTTTTAATAATTAAACAAAACCAAATTGCAGTACTGCATCCATATAGATGAGCACCTAATATGGTAATATAGATGATAAGATACAAATAATATTCTGAAGTGGGAACATTCTAAAGAGCCTTTAAAAAAATGGTACAAGTGGGTAAAAGTTGTAATTTGAACAATTTAGCATTGAAACTGCCCCCAAGATAGTGTAAATTACAGCAGTTTATATGATATTAGTCAATATAATCCAAGATACTGTTCGTTTAAATGTGGGTTTTTCTATGTATTATAGCTAATTGGTCCAGAAAGTCTGTAAGACCATAAGATAATAGAACTCAGCCAAACGAGTTTAGTCTCCAGGGTGTACATAATTCCCTTGTAAAGAGGATGTAATAAAACCTTGCCATGCCATAAAGGAAATAAAAAATAATTCTACAGGTGCATGAGTGAGGCATCATCTCTATGATCAGAAGCCTTATGTTTTTTTTTTCTTTTTCAGAGATTTTCTTATTCAGTCTCTGAAATCCGAAGGCTACCTCTCTGTATTTAGATCTAAACAATTTGCTTCCTAGTTCCTTCAAAACTTTTCAGTCAATGAAAGATATAAACCGACCACTCAAAACCTATAAACGCTGAGGATATACAATACATGGCAGTGTCACAATGCTGCACATGCAACCTGATAGCCGCCATAGATCAAATCTTCCAATCCATATCTACTGTATTAAGATATGCTTTCTGACTGAAGCAAAAATGCTATTAAGACGTATCCAGAAAGTGCCAAAATTTTTACGGAAAAACCCACTTGCACTCAAGAAAGCAGCCATAAATTACATGGCTTAAAAATGTAGAGTTAAAACCTAGTAACTTGACCTGAAAATTTCCATAAACATCCTAGTATTGAAGAACTTGAATTAAGCAAAGGTCCAAATGATACATTGTCTTTATTGTTAACAGAATCATTGTCTTTATTGTTAACAGAATCTGGCAAAGAAACTATCATGGAACCGCTTAAAGATTTAAATTAATTACCACCTTTTTTACATAGAGAGTAACAAAACAAATGAGAAAAATGATATTTGTGCATATACACCCATGAGGCATCAATTTGTATGTGTATCCCCAATTTAACAAACCTCCATCGATAAAATCTTCAAATTAGAACAATTATATAGAACTTAGCAAACATGCAAATATAGATGTGTAAATAAAACACAACTGCAATATCTAACTCACAGAAACACGAGAAACCAATCGATAAATACTTCAAAAGCATAAAATAAACTTATCTGAGTGACCCATTTCATAATAAAAGAATTCGAAAAAACAAGAGAAGCCCATCAATAAGCTCAATGTAAAAAGTTGAGAGAAAATGTCAGATAATTCACCAAAAATTGATTCAAAGAGAATCCTGTTAATCGAAAAACTCAAACCCCGTTAACTAAAAACTCAAAGTAAACACGAGTGAGCATTCAGACACCACACTCGTCCAATCATAAAGAGGCGGACAGCAGATTGGTTCTGCACATTAAGTCGTACCCATAAGTTTAATAGATTCCGCCTTGACCTGGCAAGACAAAGTATTTTCTGGCACTATAATTTCCCGTTCAGATTACGCAAAACATAAAATCTCTTGAAAACCAAGGAAAACCCATATCCGACAATCAAAAACACAATTTAAGAAAAATACAAAATAAACGCACAATACTTAAACAGCAACGTATGATTGGCTATTTAAATACACCATCATACTATTAATTTCACACAAAATCCGCAATTGGATTTATCAAGGGCTTAAAGAAATCACCTTTCAGAGTCAAGCATCGGCTGTTTTGGGGATAAGAGGAATGGGCAACTGGCCTTTCTGAGAGCCCTTCATCTTGGCTTCTTGCTCTCGAATCTTCTGCATCTGGAGCATTCTCTCCATAACAAGCTCATACTCGCACTTTTCATAGGTGTGGCGCTCCGACTCACACTTCCAGGGCAAATAGAACTCGGCCTGCCTGCACTTGTTCAGTGGGATCAGCAAATGGGCGCATTGGTCTCTGTACGGTATTGGCACCTTGGCCTCCACCATCTCTTCCTGTGTAGCTATCATCTTCTTTGAAGAACCCGGCACCTCCATCGGAGTGAATGATCGATTGAGTGATTCTTCAATTTCGGGTGAAATTTGGAAATTGGGATTCAGCGCTTCCTTAATTCTTCGTGAGACCCTTGAAAGGCTGAACCTTTGGGCCTTTACTCTGATGTCGGGCCGCGTACGGTTGGACAAGGTCGGGTTTGGTCCATCATTATAACCACATTTTTGTTTCAAAATGCATCACAATGACTGATGTTATAAGTAAATCCAGACTTTCTCAATCGAAATATTAATAGATTCTATTGAAGTTCATTGAAATTTAGGTGTATTCAATTTAGGTTATTAGACACTTAAAAAATTTTAAGGTGCGTTTGATTGCAAGCATGAAATCTGTATGAAAAGAAAATACATGGAAATTGTCAAATGTGTTTGATTGATTTAATTTTTAATTTATAAAATATTATACTTCTTCATTTTTTATTGGTGGGTTGACGAGATAGTGTGGATAAATGAGAGAGAGAAAGAGTGAGTGAATTTCTTGGAAAATAAAATCCTACTATCCCTAAAAAAAAAATATTTTCCTTGATTTTGAGGATAAAAACGGTTACGCGATCAATAGTAGAAAAATATTTTTCATGAAAGAAAATTGCAATCAAACAGCATAACAATAAGAATTTTGGTGAAAAACACATTTTCATAAAAGATATTGACAATCAAATACACCTATAGGGTATTCAATCAAGATTACATAAAAATCTTGGGGTATTCAGTAATAGATTTATATAGAATTTTAAAGGGATAATTGCAGTATCGGTCCAAAACCTTTAAATTTTTCTACACTTTACCATAATCTTTACTTTGTGCCACTCACGATTTCCCAAACCTTTCAAAAATTAGTACCGGAGGTCCAATTGGATGATTTATGTTAGTTTGACCATCAGTTGACCCAAAAAATGAAAACTTGACTAATTTTGACTAAATTGAACCCATCTTCTTCGAACAATTTTTAGATCTCAAAATTCAAAATTGCTTGAAAAGTTGAGGAATGCTATTGAAAATCCAATAATTTCTTCATGATGTTGAGATCAAGGTACTAATCCCTCAAATTGCGGAATATCATCTTAACTGATAACATCACGTGAAAATTATTCATGCTTAATGTTTATGCATAGCAAAATGCTGTTTTAATCCACGCAATTGTTGGATGGAAGTCCTCAATCGGAAGGTGATCAAGAGTCCAAGTAAGTGGTGGAAGTCCAAATACATGGTGCCCAAACATATTAAAGCTTCAAGCTTCAACAATGATAATTAAACTACTTTGACACAATTATTTTTTTTTTTATATAATGGTTGACATTCTGACATTCTGTAATGGCTTGTGGGCATCTCGTCAATGTGAATGTCAGTCATCCATTATGTCAAAAATATTATATCATCATTGCATTGTTGCAACAATAATGGTGGAAGTCCTAGGATTTTTTTTCTTTCCAAGTACTTATGTTTTTGACAATTTGTTTTGTTGGAGATTTAGATAATAAGGGTGGTCTGGGTGTGCTGACGATGTTTTGTGATGAATTATTGCCCAGCTTGACTGGGCTTTGGTGGATCTGATGATAGGCGATAAGTGACAACGAGATTGTGGTGACGAGTTTTTTTTATTGGGTTTAGGTGGAAATGGTGGTGACCGTGGGTTTGAAAAGGAGAAGGTGAACAATGACTGAATTTTGTTATTGGTTTTTATGTTTTTTAGTTTTTAATTTTAATTTAAAGTTATCATTTTTTAATCCCTTTTAAAATTAGTCAAAGTCAATTTATTGGGTCAACTAACGATCAAACTAAGAGAAATCATCCATTTAGACCCCATGTGTTAATCTTTGAAAGATTTGGAATTGTAGGTAGTACAAATTGAATTTTAAGTAATGTATGCAAAGAAGTGAAAGATTTGGGATCGCTGATACTATTATCCCAATTTTAAAAGTCGATAAAAATTATGAAGTATTAAATCATGACTTTTTAGAAGTTTTTAAAAGTCGCGAGTTATTCAAAATATCAATGACTTATATTAAAAAAATATAAAAAAAAATCACGCATTAACTTTTATGTTAAAAATACAAATACAGAATCTAATTTTTATTGTCAAACCAAAATTTTGAAAGACTTTAATAAAAAAGTGTATTCACCGTTGACTTTAAAAAATGTCTTTTCGGTTGACTTAGAAGAATGTAAATTATTTTCTAAAGTCAACAATCAATATTTCTGTCCGAATTTTTCGCACATTTAGGGGATACTTTTAAGTTTGACCCAGTCAAAGGGAGGAAATTTTACTTTGACTTTGAAAATCATGAATATTATCACATTGGCCTCTTGAATGTTAAAAGACAAGGATGCCCTCAAATGTATTATACAATTACAAAACAATGTATTATTGAAAAGACTTTACTACCCTTTTAATTAATAATTGAAAATCAAACACTTCCCCACTTATAAAATTTCAAAACGAGCTTCCAAGACAGAAAAAACTCTCATCTTTCATCTGCTTGAACCTCAACTTCTCAGAAAACGTTCAAACGCTGAAACCGGAAATTTTTTTCATATCAATTTTTTCAAATCGGTAAGTATATTTACACATGTTTAATTTCTTTTTCAGTAAATTAGTATACGTTTGAATAGAAAAAATTTATTTCGACATAATAATAGTTAGTATTAATTTTTTTACCAGATCGAATGTATGAAAAAAAATTTGAACAGATGTATAATTTTTTTCTTCTACGTAATGCGGAAAACATAAAAGCAGTCGACTGTTTGGCTGTTAAACAGCCAAACAGTCACGTGACAATCGACTGTTAACAGCCGACTGTCTATTGATAGCCGACTGTTGGCACTGATTTTTGTTGGCAATGCATTATTTTTTTTATAATTAATAAATGAAGTTGATTAAATCCATTTCTTCATGCAGATATGATAATCCCCGTCTGTTATTTCGGTGATTTCGAATTGAATGAAAATAATCGGTGGGAATGGAGATGGACGAGTGACATACATGGTTGTATTGCAATTCCCATAATAGAGAGTACACCATATTTAGAAATGTACCACGATTTGCAAAATAAGCTGAATGTCGATCAATCTCAATACGATATGCAATCGAGATGTTTATTCAACGGTTATGGGAATTCATCCATTCCGATACCACCGGTATTCGTTACTAATGATGTTGAATTGAATTATCTATTAGAATTGAATAAAATGCATCGGACTCCGACTGTTCTTGGTACGACTTTAATTATGAAGGATGTTATCGAAGGTGAATGCGAAGATTCAGATAGGGCCGATAACAATGATCGAAGTTTTTGGGAGACGGTGGAGATAGTTCCTGCGGATGATGTGGTTATTCCTGAGACAGTTGCTTCTGATCGTGATGTTGCTGTTACGCGCAGAATTCCGTTGAAGACAATGAGAATATAAACGAGTCTACAAATAAAAATTTGATTGCTTTATTCCGACAGAGACATGAGCTGAGTGGGAGCTCACAGGTTGGAACAAGTTGACTGTCCTTCAATTCTTCCCGTGTGGCTCCCGATTATGAGGACTTGTATGTCGAGTAACTGTTTGAAATCAAGAAAGATTTGCAGGAAGCTATCCACCGGCTGGCATTAAAATATAACTTTGAGTTCAAAGTAAAGAAATCAAACAAGTCATTATTGACAGTTGCCTGCGTCGAAGGCAGTTGCAATTGGCGCTTGAGAGCAACTAAAATTGACACGAATGAGTGTTTCGTAATTCGCAAGTATTCACGGAACATACTTGCGAAGTGGGAATTTTTCGAAACGATCACAGGCAAGCTCGAGCATGGTTTATTGGTCAGGGATAATTGCAGTATCGGTCCAAAACCTTTAAATTTTTCTACACTTTACCATAATCTTTACTTTGTGCCACTCACGATTTCCCAAACCTTTCAAAAATTAGTACCGGAGGTCCAATTGGATGATTTATGTTAGTTTGACCATCAGTTGACCCAAAAAATGAAAACTTGACTAATTTTGACTAAATTGAACCCATCTTCTTCGAACAATTTTTAGATCTCAAAATTCAAAATTGCTTGAAAAGTTGAGGAATGCTATTGAAAATCCAATAATTTCTTCATGATGTTGAGATCAAGGTACTAATCCCTCAAATTGCGGAATATCATCTTAACTGATAACATCACGTGAAAATTATTCATGCTTAATGTTTATGCATAGCAAAATGCTGTTTTAATCCACGCAATTGTTGGATGGAAGTCCTCAATCGGAAGGTGATCAAGAGTCCAAGTAAGTGGTGGAAGTCCAAATACATGGTGCCCAAACATATTAAAGCTTCAAGCTTCAACAATGATAATTAAACTACTTTGACACAATTATTTTTTTTTTTATATAATGGTTGACATTCTGACATTCTGTAATGGCTTGTGGGCATCTCGTCAATGTGAATGTCAGTCATCCATTATGTCAAAAATATTATATCATCATTGCATTGTTGCAACAATAATGGTGGAAGTCCTAGGATTTTTTTTCTTTCCAAGTACTTATGTTTTTGACAATTTGCTTTGTTGTAGATTTAGATAGTAAGGGTGGTCTGGGTGTGCTAATGATGTTTTGTGATGAATTATTGCCCAGCTTGACTGGGCTTTGGTGGATTTGACGATAGGCGATAAGCGACAACGAGATTGTGGTGACGAGTTTTTTTTATTGGGTTTAGGTGGAGATGGTGGTGACTGTGGGTTTGGGAAGGAGAAGATGAACAATGACTGAATTTTGTTTTTGGTTTTTATGTTTTTTAGTTTTTAATTTTAATTTAAAGTTATCATTTTTTAATCCCTTTTAAAATTAGTCAAAGTCAATTTATTGGATCAACTAACGATCAAACTAAGAGAAATCATCCATTTAGTCCCCATGTGTTAATTTTTGAAAGATTTGGAATTGTAGGTAGTACAAATTGAATTTTAAGTAATGTATGCAAAGAAGTGAAAGATTTGGGATCGCTGATACAATTATCCCAATTTTAAAAGTCGATAAAAATTATGAAGTATTAAATCATGACTTTTTAGAAGTTTTTAAAACTCACGAGTTATTCAAAATATCAATGACTTATATTAAAAAATATATATAAAAAAATCACG